AAATAAAAAAAACACAGTATTCTTTTTTGTGTGCCAATGTTTATATATTATATACAAGTTATTAATATATTATATATATTGTATATATATATAAGTACAAATAAAAGTATATCTATCATCCATCTATAAGTTTCAATAAATAATAAAGCATAAATTGAGCATAAATTGAATAAGCTAATTGCTTTAATATTCCTAAGTGCCTTAACAGAAATTGTGTATTATCGTTATCATTCAATTTATACAACCAATTGATCAATAAAGGTATAGTTTGAAATAAAAACTTTATATGCAATAACAAAAACTATTCATATGATTTTAATTGTTGCCATTTTTAATGATTAATTACATATTTAGTTTAAGAATTTAATATTTGCCATATTTAATCATTCAAGATTATGGTTTAGCGTACATATACTGCTGGTTTGGTCAATTTACTATTTCCTGATGTCATCTGCATTCTTTTTACATGTATTTTATTTTCGAGGACAATATATGTTATTGTCTAGAAATTTCTACAACGTTATTGTCAATCGTGTTTGGAATATACCATGACAAAGTAACAAAAAATGTTATAATATTTGTGTAATAATATTAATAAAAACAATTATTATAATATACATAATTATTTAATGTAAACATATTTTTGTTTTGTTTTAACAATTAAATAGATAAAATATGTATATAAAGATTGTAATTCATAATACATTAAATTTTTATTATTAAATTTTGCACTTATTCAATAATAAAAAATTGTGATAAATATTCCGATTATTTATTAATCTTAACATATGGTTTATTATCAAAGTCATAACCTTGAGTGATCATCAAATATTTAGGCCATCAACCCGCAGTTAAAAATAAGTTATTAACAGAATAAGCTTCATTTAAAACTTCAAACAGAACATGATTTTTGGACAAATTAAATATTAGACATAGGTTATACAGCTGTCAACTTAAACATTACAAAGGGGTGAAACTTTATAATCATGAAGATTTAATTTTTTCCTATAAGCAAAGGGAGAGAGGAGTATACACGTATTTTGCTCAGAAAATTAAAACTCCTGTGGAACCTTGTTCTGCGTGGAAAGTTGTAAATTTTGCTTTGTTTTTTAAATCTTGCTTCGCGTTAAATGCATATGCGTAGCTGCAATCATTTCGCCCTTTTTCCTTTTAAAAAATAAGCTCATCCATCAAAAACTAGACACATAAATCTGAATTAAATCACGTTTTGGGAAATTGTAACTTACATGGAACATCGTTTCATATAGATATACAATTTTTTATGCGAAGTTCAATTGAAATATGATTTTTTAAGTCTAATTTTTTTAGTAATTGGGCTCTCCTCTTTCGTAGAAAAAGGTAAGTTTTTTTAATTGTCTTCGCATATATACCGGGTTTCAGATCATCCGTATACTCCATTTAAAAACAAGAGAAGTGATTATTTTAAAGAATATTTCAGACAAAATTGTTGGGGATCAAGTAATGCATTACGTGGCAATATGCTATTGATCTTGAGTGGCGTTGTGAAGGTCATGTCATGATCGACTTAAATTTTTTTAATGAGCACCCGTATTTTGCATAGTTGACGTCAAGACGTGTTCGAAACATTGGTTACAAATCCTTTTTAGTTGAGATATTCCTGAGTTATGAAACTTCAAAGTTTCAGTACGGCATTAGCATCATCAAAGATATATTTAATTCAAGCCGACCTCGACTTTCGCGACGCCATCCAAGATCAATCGCATATACCCAAATAATGCATTATCTTGTAATACTTGATCCCCTTTACTTGAACAACTTTTGTTTGAAATATTTCTCAAAATAATCATTTTTCTCATTTTTATTAGAGTATACGGGTGATCCGAAACACCCCATATACTTTTCAACGCAAAATAAAGTTTCACATAAATTCACTACTTACTAATTACACAAAGCAAAGTTCCAGAGTACCGACTTTCCGAGCAAAGCGAGGTTCACCTTTCGATTGTTATTTATTAAAAAGTTATTATTCAATCAAAATTAGTAATTATTTCCTTGCTTTATATAAAGAGTCGAATAATTTTATACAGAGAGAGAAAGGTATGAGGTGGACGAATTCAAGGAATACAACTTTCCACACGACTTTCACCCCGCATTCTCCCTCTCCCCGCCCTTACCAAGGAACATACGACTTTCCATGTGAAGCGACTTTCACTCCATCTCACCCTCTGCTAAGATGGGCAGTTTTTTACACGAAGTGAAATGAAATGAATTTCGCTTCGTGTAGAAAGTCAAATGTCCCCCTTGGCAGAAGAGATAGAATTCCTTTCGTGTGGAAAACCTTACGTAAGGAAGAGTATAGAATAGTTTCTAATGTAACATATAGTAGATATAAGACGTTATTTTATCAAATTCTTTTGTTAATACTTTATTATAATTTTTTAATGAGTAACGAGCGACGGCTAAAACCTGTTGGAAGTCACTTAGGATCACTCAGAATCATGACTTTGACAACATATGTCAAGATTAAGGTCATTAGGGCTCCTCTAACCGCACGTTTACTCTAGTGTATATATGAGCAAAAATAAAAGTATTAGGTCGTCCGGAAAGCTCGTGCCGCAAAAGATTTAAATTTAATAAATGAAATTAAAAATTTAAATCTTCTACGTTTCAATTTTCCTTCAAAATCGGCACGAACTTTTCGGACAACCCAATATATTCATCACTATAAGTCCATCTATAAGTTTCAATAAATAATAAAGCATAAATTGTAATAAGCTAATTGCTTTAATATTTCTAAGTGCCTTAACTGAAATTGCATCTACTATCGTCATTCATATGAATTTATACAACCAACTGATCAACAAAAGTACACTTTGAAATAAAAACTAAATGTACAATGACTAAAAATATTCGTATGATTTTAATGCCATTTTTAATAATCAGTTACGTAGTTGGTTTAAGAATTGCTATATCTAATCATTCAAAATTATGGTTTAGTGTCACATATACGCTACTGGTTTGGTCAGTGTATTATTTCCTCTCATCATGTGCATTAATAACTTCTTTTAATGAGTGTTATTCTTCCGATTTTCAATTTCTCATTTATTTAGAAAGCTTTATAACGATATTATCAATTATGTTTGGAATATATCAAGATAAGGTAACAAAATGTTATAATATATATTTGTAACATTATTAGTATAAAACGATTGTTATAATATATTGGGTTGTCCGGAAAGTTCATGCCGCAAAAGATTTAATAAATGAAATTAAAAATTTAAATCTTCTGCGTTTCAATTTTCCTTCAAAATCGACACGAACTTTCCGGACAACTCAATACATAATTATTAAGAACAAATATATCCTTGTCTATTTATGTATTAAATATGTACAAAATATATATATATATATAAATTATAACTCATAATACACTAAATTCTACATTTGTATAATAATTTGTTTAATAATAAAAACTGTGATAAATATCTCGATTATGAATCTATATATAAGTTTTTAAGGTTATTACTTTGACTGATCTTCAAAAGTTTTGGCGTCAGTCGTTCGTTAAAAAGTTATTAACAGAATGAGTTTTATAAATATTACATGATGTAATATTTCATAAATACTACATTTATGAACAAATTAAATATTAGACACAGGTTATTTAGTTGTAAATATAAAGGGATAAAAATTACAAAGGGATAAAATTTTACTATTCTCTGAACTTCATTTTATCCTAAGTAAGTAGGAAGAAAGATGGAGTAGACATCGCACCGCTTGGAAAATCCAAATTCTTGTGAATATTTCACGTGGAAAATTGTAAATCTTGCTTTGATTTTGGAGTCTTGCTTCGCGTTAAGTGTGCGTGCGTGCGTACGTGCGTGCATGCGTGTGTGTGTACGAATGCAGTGCGGATTCTGCTCTTTTTTCTTTTACAAGGAAAGTTCGATACACTATCAAAAAATTAGATAACACATAAGTTTTGATTGAACTACGTTTTGCAAAAGTTCGTATGTGAAACTTCATATGAATGTATGTATAACTTTCCACATAAAACAAGGTTCACCTATGTGTCTATAATCTTTAATAATGGCCTTTTCTTCGTACAAAGATCCATTGCCTCCACGTAATATTCTTCAACGCGAAGCAAGGTTTTACATGAATTCACAATTTCCCACGCAAAGCGAAATTAGTTTCGACTTTTGATACGAAACCCACATCACCTTCTCCTCTGCTTATTGGCCGGATAAAACGAAATTTGTGATTGTATAGGTCCTTCCCTATCTACAAATTCACATAAATATGTAAATATGTTAATAATGTGATATTTATATTAAATAAAATTTAAACTATGAAGTTAGATACATGCTTAATATGCATAAGTATATTGTAAACTTTTTGTAAACTTTTTGGTAATAATTTTTTAACGAGCAATTATTGGGGACTAAAAATGACAAACTTTCCGATAATTACTCATAATCATGATCTTGATAACATACATCAAGATCAAGATGCGGCTAACTCTTCTAAATGTACTATAATATATTTGTCTATTTCACATTTCATTTTTGTGACAGAAATTCCAAAATTGTTTGAAAAAATTTGATATTATCGACAACATCTTGCTAAAGCTAGGAACAATGACAGATTATGACACTCTACGCAAAAAAGGAATATGGTGTGTCTTAGGATGGGTTTTCATAGTTATATTATCAATATACTACTCAGTTTCATTACTAAAAGATAAATGTGACGGTGATATTGTATTAATTATACTTCGCTCCATTCAACAAGATTACTGTTTACATATCAATCTCATAAATGATTTGATTAATGCAAGTCTCCTTCAGTTAGTATTTCTCTTTACATATATTTATTACTATATTGTTACTTTATGGCTATAGCTATTTATACAGGATGTTTGGAATTTAAATGTCAAAACTTCGAGAGCATGTAAGGGATCAATAAAGAAAAAAAGTCCGATACAGATATGCCCGTCTTTGCTTAGTTTTGAAAAAAACCAGTTGCTTCGTTTTCACATTGCCTCTGAAGTATTGTATTATGGCGCTTTCACACCTTGACAGAAAGCAGAAAGTGGAAAAGCAGCCAATCAGAACTTGCGCTGTTAACATTTTCTTTTTTATACTACTTACTACCAATGCGATTGGCCACTGCTTTTCTGCTTTTTACTTTTCTATCAAGATGTAAACGCGCTTATCGTCGCTGAAATCGTGTACGAAAACAATAATAATAATTCCGTTTTCAGATGAAATTTTTTTGTTTGTTTATATTTTTGCTTTTCTTCTGTAATTCAGTTACTCATCAGAAATCATCGAGAGAATTGCTCCTGTTACAATATGTCGCATACATATTCTAATATTGAATATGCTGATATGGTTTTCATGTATAATTTCTGCGATAAGAAGTCAATATTTTGAACAATATCTACATTAAGCAAATAAATAATATGAATATACAAATACAATAATAAGTGATGAAAAAGTACAAAAATGAAAACTACGTTTTGTCTTTTTTGTAATTTTCTCCAAAACAAAACAAAAACGATAATCATATCTCAGAACTTTTTTTTTCTTAGTTTATCGCCTACACTCCCACGCTCCCAAAGTTTTAACATTTAAATTCTAAACACCTTGTATAAATAACTGTATAGTTATTGATGTATGTACATAAAATTAAAGTGTAATGCATAAATATTTTACAATTTCTAAACTAAAAAATTTTAAAAGTACTTATAAAATAAAGCTACTGTTTCGATTAATTTCATTTCCCATCTATTCTTTTTATATTTAGATACACAGGATTGAAGTTTGACGAAATCAATGAACACCTTCAAAATTTAATGAAGAATCAAAAACACGAAATAACACGGGCCTGGAAAAATCCTCGGATATGTCATTACCAACGCAGATTTTCGAAACCACTAAGTAATAAATGTATAACGTGGATTATTATGTAAGAAATTTTATGTAAATTTTATTAGTAGTAATATCATAGGAAAAAATTAACATTCATAAATAACAATATACGTAAAATAAAACTGAATATTTATGTTTGTCCAGGCATCTTTATTTAGAATTATGCAAAATATCCAGTGATATAAACTCAATATTTGGAATCCAAATGACTATCAAAATGGCATACAATTTTATTTGGATAATAATTGACTTGCGCGAATTTTTCAATCTAATATTTATTGAAAATTATGAAAAATCTAAAATAGTGGCTCTCTCCTTATTGTCGTTCTACTTATCTCATCACATTTTCAAATTCCTGCTTATAAATTTTATGTGCGAAATAGTCAGTACTAAGGTAGATTAAATATCAAGAAATATTAATTAAAAAAGTGTTTATAATAGATAAATCAATGTAAAGCTTATTATTGACATCTTAATTTAAAATTAAATTAGAAGTTTCATTAAGATGCATTCTTTAATGACATTAAACAAATTTCAGGCAAATTCAACAGCAAATTTATTAAATAAATTATCCTGTACCACTTATGATGTTGAAATTCGTGAAATCGTAAGTTTAAAAATAAATTCATAAAGATATTGTTAAAATACATATTAAACGTATAAATAAATCAGCAAGACATGCGAGATATTAAAAGTAATACATTTTTTATACATTTTTTTATACAGATTTCACAATTTTTATTACGAATAATTCACGCACCCCTTAGATTCTATGGAATGGGGCTTTTCCAATTTGGTTTCAAATTTCTTTATAAGGTACGTTATATTTATTATATAATTAAATTACATAATTAAATTACAAATACTACAAATAGTCAAATTTGACAAATATTTAAAAAAAAACTTATAAATTGCCTTTATTTTTAGTTTATCACATCTCTTACGACTGTTTTAGTTATATTAATACAAGCACAAGCAAATAAGTAATAATTTTTATCAAATTAAGACAAAGTTCATAAAAAATACTTTAATGATAATATATACAACATATAATAATACAATACCATATAAATCATAATGTGTATAACACATTATGATTTATATGGTAAATGAGTTGTAGGAGAAAGTGAAGGAACTGTGCGCACCTAAGGAAAATTTATTGCTCTTATATTAATCCACTGTTGACTGAAGTATCCAAATATTCCTTGTCTGGCATGATACTTATTGACATTTGAATTTTTTTATATATTGACACTTCACCACTGATGGTTTTTAAATTTTCATTATACCTGTTATTCATTGTTGGTTAATCTAAGATTGTATTTCTGCGTTTTACATGAGGATACACAAAGAGGAAGGCTTTGTAAACCGAAACAATGGTTGATTATATTAATTTAAAGTTAATTTAATTATAGCTCAAAATAAACCATGATATTGTGTTAATTTTTATAAAAATGTTAGTGTTAGTCATACAGTATATGAAAAACGGATAATTGTGCGCATTTCAAAATGTTTGCGCACTGTTGCCCGCCGCGACCTAACTCGATATGAAATACGATTACTTCAACAATTCCTAACCAAACTTAATAAATAACAGCTCAAAAGATGCATATTAATGTATTTTAATAACGTATGCAACTTTAAACAAACAAATTAAAAATACCACCTTATTTTCTAAATGTTAAAATAACAAGAAAAAATATGATTTCATTTTTTTTGTATTTTTTTAGCTAGCTATGTATTTACGTATCTAGTTATATCTTAAAAGGATGCCCTCCTGCATAAAAATTTCACCACAGTGATGTCTTCATTGGAAAAATATCAAATCATAATTACCCGCTGCGCATAATTCTTCCACTTTCCCCTACAATATCTTCTAGATTTAATTCAATATCCTTATATAAGCTTTAAAAGAAAAAATTAATATTTGAAAAAACAATTAATAATATTTAGCAATAAAAGAGATAAATAAAAGAATACTTCTTAATGTTATTTATCAATTTTATTTTTGTACTATTCTTTTCGTTATAAATCCAAATAGTTATTTAATTTTTTTTATATAAAATAAAAAAAATTGACCACCTGTGATATTTTTTAAAACTCCAACTAATATCATTATTATCAAAATATCATATATTACTGATTGTTTTCCAACTTATTCATATTTGAAAACATTTTGGATATATATTTACTCACAATTTTCTGATGAAAGTAAAATAGAAAAACAAATATTAAACGGAATAACAGTTACTATGTTACATTAAACAGTTTAGAAAGTGTGTCTGAAGAATGAAGATTTTAATTAATATAACATTGTTTTATTGTTTTAGTTTAGTTTAGAACGTAATTGCATATTATTGAAAGTTCATAGGAAATAAGTAATAAGATATAAAAAAGTGTATTAATAAATATCCATATAAAACAATGTTTTGCAACAATTCACATTTTATCACCCCTTGAGTGTAAAAATACCGTAGATGACTATTCCCGAAATTAGAAAAACTCATTTTTTACATAAAGTTTTCTTATATATAATATCCTAATATTATTGAACACATTTTTTTTTTATTAACTGCCAAAAAATTTTTATTTATCAGATTTATTTTTATTTATACAGGGTGTTTGAAAATAATTCCCAAATATTTCATGGACAGGTAGAATTGACTAAACTGAGTCGAAAGGTCCTCTACCGTTTTGTAAATTTCCCCAATAGTTAACAAGATTAACCCTTAAAGATAGCCGAATACGCGCACTCGCCCGGCCTACTACTGCGAAATGTATATGTCTACCGATCGCTTGGCGCGCGGGCCTTGGGAGTTGGGGATTGGCTGACAAGCGCCGCGCCGCGCACACCGTCGCAAGCCTCCATAGCTCGGACGGTGCGCTTGCCAGATTATCCCCACGGTCCCCATGGTCAGCGCGCCAAGCGATCGGTAGGCGTATTACTTCGCAATAGTATTCGGCTCAGTTTAGTCTGTTCTACTTGCCCATGAAATATTTGCGATTTTTTCCGCGATTATTTCCAGACTTGTATTATATAATAATCCATTAATAATTATTGTAATTAATAGAATCAATGCGTTTTATTGTATGAAAATGTTGTAAGTACTATATTTTATCACATACCAATATTTAACGTGGAAAGTGCTATTATAATCAAAGAAAAATGAATTGTGCAACTTAAAGATTGTAAATACATTATATAATTGACATATTTATTTGAACTTACAACATTTTAAATTATATTTTTATTTGAATTTAAACTGTTTTGAATATTTAATACGATTTTTTAAATTAGAATTACTTAATTAAAAAATTTTACAGAGATAGATTGCTCATATCTTTAACTATTGCGGCAATTTCTTATAGAATTTTTTAAATGATAATTTTCAAGAAATGTCTTTCCTTCTAAAAAATTTAAAGAATGGCATTTATTATATTTTGCCACGGGCACACCTTCACACTTCAATTAATATTCATACTATCTCATGTTACATAATCATATTTTCAAATATATACTATATAACATCATTATACAGTATTTCAAATTCAAGATTTAAAATACTCTATAGCAAGATAGTTTTCAAAAAATTTAATATAAATTTATTTGTAAATTTTTATTTTAGCAATTTCTGAGGAATAAGGATTTAAATAAGGATTAAAAATTACAGAGTATGTTTAGATTTTTAAATGGTTACAAGTGAGCATATAAGATAATATTGAACGCGTGATCAGCGCTCACTAATATCTATAAACTTACGCACCGTAACTCATGGACACGTGACATCACATAGTCTATAATTAATCATATTTAAACCCTTATTAATCTCAAATATTACTGCTTAAAATAAACATTTATAAATAATTTTTTTATTTTTTTGAAAACTCTCTTGTTATATTTTGAATCGCGAATTCTAAATGAACAAAAATATCATAAATATAAAATAAGTATAAAACACATAAAAATATTACACACAATATTTCTATTACATTTGTTTATTATGTATATGTTTATTATGTTTTTAAAGAAAAAATATATTTTTCATCCATTTAATTTCGAAATAATAAATAGTGATACATAAATATTATACTATTTACTTTAATATCCATAAGTGCATGATTAAAATTACAAAGATGCGCTGTCTTTATTCTTCGATATAACCTATGCAACCAACTAGTCAATAAAAAGACAGTTTGAAGTAGAAATCGTGAGCGATGACGGGTATTCGAACAATTTTAAAACCATTTTTAATGATCAGTTATATGTTAGGTTTGAGAATTCACAATTCATCTAATTATTTAAGACTATGGTTCAATGTTCTATATATGATATTAGTTTGGTCAATTTATTGTTTCCTCTTAACATCTGCATTAATATCGTCTTTTAATAAGTTTATTCTTATCGAGGACTACATTTGCTATCAATTAGAAATTATCACGACTTTATTATCAATCATATTTGGTATATATCACGATAAGGTAAGAAGATATTAAAATATATATAGTGGTAAGAAAATTAAATTAATATTGTAAATTATAATACATATAATTATTAATAATTAGCAATTTCAAATATATGCAATTACAACAGATAGAAAATATATAAGGCTTATAATTGAAAGGATATAAAAGTTATACATCTAATTCTCTCTCTCTCTCTCTCTCTCTCTCTCTCTCTCTCTCTCTCTCTCTC